TGATAGATTTTGAAGGATTTCAAGGTAAAAATATAAGTACAAAGAATCAGTGACAATTTTAACCCAAACCTAAAAATTTCACAACATTTCTCACCTCTCTCCATATTTGCTGCCCTCTCTCTCTCTCTCCCCCCGCCCATCTTGAACAAGATTTTGTTCTTCTTTCTATCTCACATTTCTCTACTATGAAAAGATCGTGTATGAGAACTTTTCAATTGATGATAATTTATGAAAGATTACTATTTTTTGTTGAATATTGGGTGTGATTTTTTATTGAACTTATTTTTTCTTATTGAAGCTATATATTGTTTACTATTTTATAGATATGCTGTAAATTATCATAGTAATTTATGATTTCTAGTATGCATACTGGAATAGCTTCGTCTTTCAAGTTCTGTACCCTATTCCTTTTTCTTGGAAAAGAGTTGTGTGTTTTCTATATATACCTGCAAATCCTAGCCAAGACATGTGAGAATGGTATCCCACAATTTTTTCTTTTGTGTCTGCATGGTCAATGAGAATTATTGGGGTATGAAATTAATTGCCTTGTGGTCATGTATGTGTACATCTGTGTGTTTGTATCTCACAAGGTTGTGGCCTTTTGAACTAATTCATATTGATTACGACTTTGATTGTCTAACACTACATATTTTTGTCCTCTCCCACTCTCGCATTTTGTTGAATATTGGTTGTATTTTTTATTGAAGCTCTGTTATAATATTCAATGTTTAACAAACAATTGAACAAGGATTCGATCATTTTCTGTGATTTATTAACGTGCATATGTGTAAGAATGAGTCGTTAAAGAAGAAGTAAAAATTTGTGGCTTATGTTAAGCATATTTATAAATTTTACCCAGAATCTATAAAATCCATAAAAATCTTTTAAAATCTACAAAATAGAAATCCATTCAAATCTTATGAAATCTTTTAAATTCTATCAAATTTCACACAATTCATGAGAATTTATAAATATTAAGAAATCTATAAAACTCTGAAATGGGGACACCCCCATTAGTTTACTATAATTTAATTTAATTTCAATTCATATCAGATGCTAAATTTTAACGTAATTTTGATTTGATTCGATAAATTTCGCTGTTACTATTAAAAGAGATAAAATATCTATGTTATTATCATAAACGTTAGAGAATTTGATTTTAATGATAAATAATGGATTATCAAAGTATCCATGGATTTAAGGATGTCAAACGGGTCGAGCGACTCATCGGCTCGTGGATGGCCCGAGCCCGAGCCGAGCAGGGGCTCGATCCCACGAGCCGAGCCGCTCGGCTCGTTGAGCTCGTGGGCCTTGTGCCCACGAGTCGAGCTGGTTCAAAAAATTGAATTTTTAAAAAAAAAGGTGCAAAAAAAGAAAAGAAAAAAACACGAGTTCCTGAGCGGCTCGCGGGCTCGGCTCGGCTCGACCCATGAGCAAAATGAGCCGAGCTCGAGCTCTGCTCGCCACGAGCCCGAGCCGAGCAGGGGCTCGATCCCACGAGCCGAGCCGCTCGGCTCGTTGAGCTCGTGGGCCTTGTGCCCACGAGTCGAGCTGGTTCAAAAAATTGAATTTTTAAAAAAAAAGGTGCAAAAAAAGAAAAGAAAAAAACACGAGTTCCTGAGCGGCTCGCGGGCTCGGCTCGGCTCGACCCATGAGCAAAATGAGCCGAGCTCGAGCTCTGCTCGCCACGAGCCCGAGCCGAGCTCGTGGTTTAAAGGGTCGAGCCGACTCGGTCCATTGCCATCCCATTGCCATCCCTACATGAATTATAAAGCATTCACTACTGCAGTTTATTTTATCAACATTTTTCCATTTTTTGTTATCGAATTACATTCTCTTTTCTTCTATTTATGGTCGTAAATTTTTTCAGGGGAAGATAACTAACTTTTCTAATAAAAAAAAAAAAAAAAAAAAAAAAAGATGAGATGGATTTGGGATGCAGACTATGTTAGCCGGCTCTACCATTCCTAGGCAAGGAATATCTCATTTAGATTACTATATTTTAATTTATTTCAATTGACCAGTCACTAAATTTTAACGTAATTGCGAATTAGATAGATAAATTTTACTGGCATTTGTTATATGTTATTGTCTATGATACTATTGAAAGGGATAAATGTCTATATTTTTGTCATATGTTATTGTCAGTATTAATATTAAAAGAGATAAATGTCTATGTTATTGTCACAGACTAATATACCTTAGAGACATTTATTCTTTTACTCAAACTTCAATAATATGTTTAATATTAAAGTAAAGTTTATAATTGTCATGAGTTGGAAAAAAAGAAAAAGGAAAAAAAGAAGATACAAAGTATATAGACAGCCATGGTAGGGGAGAAAATTTTTGAAAAATGAATTTTTATTTGAAAAAATAATAATAAAATGTAAGAAAAATTTCTGAGGAATTAATTTTTTGGCCGCAAGACAAGAGCCTCATCTTTGGAGCCTGAACTAAATAAATAGGGTGTTTTAAAGAAAACTTTGACATATAGTTGAAATTAATTTAATTTTAATGATACATAATGGAATACCAAAGCATCTATAGGTTAAAAGCTTCACTACTGCAGCATATTTAATCATCATGTTTTCATTTATTTGTTATCAAATTGAAATTCTATTTTCTTCTATCACTAACTTCTGTGATAAAAATAAAAATAAGAATCGGATGGATTTAGGATGCAGACTATGTTGGTCGGCTCTACAATTCCTAGGCAAGGAATATCTCATTTAGGTTACTATATATTTTAACTTATTTCAATTGATCACTCACTAAATTTTAACATAGTTTCAAATTGGGTCGATAAATTTCACTCTTGTTTGTGAATTATGTTATTGTTGTTGCGTGTTGTCACACCTGTCCTACTCATCTGGGCCAGTGGCCCACTCATCCTGATCTACGTGACATTCCTGCCGAGGTGGCCCACATTGCCGAGGTGGGTTACATCCGAACTGCTTCTAACCGAGGCCTATGGCCAGAGGCGTGGAAGCTTTTGGTTGTAGCTGAGGTCCTCGAATGGACGAAGCCCCGAAGTTGATGCGCGAGCCTCAACCACAAGGAAACATCCTCCATGGTCACTTCTCCCAAGAGATTGCCTGCACAGATCTTATTCGAATGATTGATGGAATGTTTGTTATAAGCATAAAGGTCAAGTCTTGTCACTAACATGGAGGCCCTGCAAAAGCAATAAATGCGCCGTAAGCTAGCAAGTCAAATCCCATGCCTAAAAACAGACATTTAAACTGAGGAGATGAGGCCACGTGCCACTTCATCCAAGGGCCCCCATTCCATATGTATCACTATAAATACATCCATTGTATAATGTCAAAAGGCTAATGCAAGAATCAATACTAAAGACTACATTTACTCAACTCTCTCAGTTATTTGTAATATATAAATCGAATTTATACACTTTTACACATACATTTACAAGCGCCGGTTGGTAATTATTGTACAACCGGATTACGAATAACCCGCCGGATTCCGAACGTTACCGTCCCGCGTCGTTGGGCTACTCTCACGCCCCTTTGAACAGCTCGTTTAGACCGTCCACGTGTCTTAACATGTTGGACTTTCGCCCACGCAAGCGCGGGTGGGACCGACATCTGTTGGCGTACTTTTTGGGGTCAACAATTGTCTATGTTACTATTAAAAGATTAAAAAAGATAAATATCTATGTTATTGTCATAAACTTTACAGAGATCTTTATACTTAACTCAGACTTCAATAATATGCTTAATATTAAAAAAAAAAAAATTGGCATGAGGAGCACAAAATAAAGATACAAAATATATAGATATCCCTTATATGGGAGAAAATTTTTGGAATTTTTTCCTTTTGAAAATACCATTAAAATGTAAGAAAAAATTTACGAGAAATTATTTTTGTGGCCTCAAGACAAGAGCCTTGTCTGGGGAGCCTGCACTAAATAAAATAATAAATAAGGCATTCTTAAGAAATCTCCGACATATAGCTTAAATGAGTTTGACTTTACGATAAATAGAAAGCAATAATTATAAACTGGTAGATAGATAGCTTGTTATTCTATTCTCCAATTTACATTTTTTTTTTCTTTGTAAACCTCAATGGACAATTTGGTAAAGGTGTGTTTGGAAGAGACATTTTTCTTTTAATGACATGGCGACGCATTTCATTTAACATTTGGATGGATTTAAATGCCATGTAAAATTTTTGTTGCCTACGTAGTGAAAGAGACGGACCAAAGTTGAGTGACCATGGGAAAGCTTGCTGAAATTCAATGAGTAAGCCGTACATAGCCCAAAGTTCAATGGTTGTTCAATGATTTAACTCTAATTTACTCAAACTTCAATAATATGTTTAGCACGTTCAAACATTTAACTCTAATTTACGCATTTTAATCTTGAGATTTCCCCTAATCATCAAGTTTAAGCTAGAAGTATCTTTTCCAACAAGGACAACTAATATAAATTTCAAGAAGTACTTTATCTGATTAAAAGAATTTTTAAGGAAAATAATTTAGGGCCCGTTTGGTATGGATTTTGAGAATTGATTTTTTGACCGTTAGAGGAAAAGTGGAGTCCACATGTGAGA